TGGGCATAACTGAGGAAATTATGGAGTTCGATTTCACACTAGAGGACGATCAGGAACGTCGTGTTTAGTGATTCGCAGAACATTCCAATGCACGGTTCGAATGGTTTCTATTATCATGAAATTGTTCGACTACTAGTCGATACCAGTTCTTCTTTGGGAGCTGAGGCTACTCAGGAAATAAGCTATCTATTATGAGGTAAAAGGTCTTTGGTCCGAACGGGTTATCTCTGTTTGCCCTCAAGCATTGGGGCTGAGTATTAGTTATATGCATGGGGCAATCAGACTACTTGAAGCATTGCTCGTGTCTGGTGAGAACATTCGGTGAGCAATGACGAGGTTCGGCGTCTTGTGTAGAGTATTGACAGCCATTATCTAGAAGATTCAAAGATGAGATCGCTTCACGCCGCCCTCGATTGCTCGGGCAGGTTTCGCGCATGTAGGCCCATCGTTTCTCTCTCTCTTTCTGAACGTACCAAACAAGGCTTAAAGAAACATCGCGCTGGTAATACCATGACCTGGCGCGGGCATATGATGAAGTTAGGTTAGCATTGACCTCGGTTGGTGCGCCCAACATCCAGGATGGGGTATGAAAACCGTAACAGTTAAGTTGTTCAATTTTTACAATCATTGAAATTGAACTTTCGTGCGCCGGTTTTGGTTGCTGTCTTTTGGTGCTCCATTGGGATAAAAGAGTAGGATGAAGATTGGAATGGTAAAAGCGAATTCAAGCCGAAGATGCTGAATTCTTGTAGAGTGGTGTTAGGAAAATAATGAGTGGATGCACGAGCGCCATATCGCTCAGAGTCTCTAACCATCGGTGACCATCATCTCGGGGTCCCTAGACAGGGAGCCTAACAGGGCCTATGTGACCAAGTATCCTGGTTAGGGTTTTCATACCCTCATGCCAGGTCTTAGTTTGACCATGAAAACCGTGACCAGGAAGCCTGAGCATGCAGATTACGTTACGTTCTTCGGTGATGGAACTCGGGATCAGCTCAACCCCTGGTTCAAGACCCTAAGTGAAAGGAGTATGGATCACACCGTCGCGCTTATGCATTTTCTCCATTTCATCGCAACCTTAGTCCACTTGAATTCTCTATCTTCACTTTGATGTTACTTCCAGTATTATGATTCTACCCCTTAATTATTAATCTGAATTGGTAACCGAACAGACACGCGAAAAATTAAGATTATTGTCTGTATGAGCGGAACTAAAATGGACGCTACAATGCGTAGTGAAAAATGTGGGCCGGAAATTCACCCAATCACTCTGGCCCTGAGGATCCCAATTAGCTAAAGAGCGAGTAAAGGCAAGTGGGACCTAATTGGTATTGCATCACCATAAGGTATGCATACACACACACACATGCTTATTCCAGTTGTGACTTACACCATCTGCTTCCTTTAGTAAGGTTTAAACAATGACGAACAACGTATCATTTATGATGGCCTAGGGATTTACGGGAACACCTGAACCAATCGCTCTCATCCTCAGGATGAAGGTTAAAAATGGAAAGTGCGTCATAGCCGAGAGTTGCTGTCCATGTGCAAGTTACACGTGTATGTCAAACCTTCTTGTCTTCCTTCCGTGCCGGTTACCACGATCACGAGAGGCGATACAACCGCAGTCTCANCAGTCTCATCTACCCCATCAGATTCACAAAAACACAATTCAGATGCCAGTTATCATTACCCTAGCAAATCGTATGGATCGCTCACCAAACCACCTGAGCAAGGACCGTAATGCGATCCGGTACTGAAAATTCCACATGTGTGTGCGTTTCGTTGTGGCCGCAATTGACTCAGTATATCTGGGGTTCATCAGTTAAACAATCGTACGCGGAACACTTACGACCATGAGACTGATTACATGAGTTTCAGTCGACGTTCACAAGGAACTGAGTTGGAGACGGTGAGTGTGGAAGGGAACTAAACATGTGACAAGTGGAAGAAACTTAAAACTCTGATGACAGTAACTCACGGCTATCCACGGATTGGTTGACACGGGTGCATGCGTCAGAGTTGGTCCTGTGTGTAATTGGGACATGGATGCCGAACCCCGAACTACCTTGAGTGACGGCGACCCGGGCGCTTGGTTTCCCGATTGCGGATTCGCACGCCCGGTCCAATTTACTGCGGTCAAACTGCCATCTGGTGCACGATACATCGAATTGTTCTCGTTCCCCGTGGATGATGATGTTCCGGGACGGATAGCCAGATTACCAGCTAGTTGAGCCAGACGTGCATCCAGAGAAGTCGCATCTGATGTCACTGAGCCCGAAGTGGATTTGCTCGGCACGCCGCTTGCAGGGGTTTCCTTAGCTAAAGAAATCAAGAAAGCGAAAGAAGTGGGGAAGGTAACAGACGATAAACGGGCGGTGAGCCTTTCGGGAACAGACGACATCTCTAACTAAATCACCGGGCTGTCCTGAGGCAAAATGCGGCACGAGGAAACGTTATCATTCGAGATTGTACATCTTATGAGAGCCATAGTCGAACCACCCAAGTCACAGCCATTGGTGTATTTCGGGCCCTAATGTTCGAGGTCTGAACCCTGAAACCGACATTAAACTTTGGAGGTAGGTAGTTGAACCAGCAAACAGCTCAATACCACATTTATCCGACTAGAGCCTGGTGCAATCCGCTTATTGAATTATCAGGGGTTAGCTAAGCGGCTTCCATAACTGCACAAGTTATACAGACAATGGGATTCCTCTTACGGTAGTGATCAATATGCGCACAGGCTATAGAAGCTCACGCGATACAGAACTAGCCCACTGTCCACGACCGACCTAACGAAAGCCTCAGAGTGTTTCGGAGCGGATGTTTTGTATTTTCATCGGTTATCCTTCCTATACGCCTCGCGAAATGCTCGTGTGCAATGAAGCGTCCCCTATGGTCGCCCTATTCACTACCTCCATGTAGTGAAGGTGTCTCCTCACAGATGTTTGAAGAGGAAAAGCCAAAATCCGTGTCTATATCAGGGTTAACGAACTACAAGCAGTGCACCTATGTATGAGCAGAGAGGTGTCTGAGTCACACCCACGTCATCTATGTTTTGGTGGCGGTCACCAACTGGATTAGGTATTGAGCACCTTGGACGTTTCACTCCGTCGGTTATAATATCCAGCTGTTTACATGTGTTTGGAAGAGAAGCCTAGGCATGAGCTGGGAGCACCGCGACGTGGTGGGGTAGATCGACAGTGGGTACAATCAAATGTGCAATGCACTTGACAGTAAACCATTACTTGTGGATAGGAGCACAAAGCCCATCAAGACACTGAATTCCTCAGGAATTAATAGTTCTGAAGACACAAAATTCACTGTCTGCCAGGATCAACGTATAAGGACGGGGCGTCTGCAACATTAACTCAGGATAGGTTATAAAAAATGTGAAAATTCGTAAACGAGAATAGGTAATAAAATAGAAGTAGCCGTTGCTTCATGGAATAGTCGGAGACTGTTTCATCTAATAAGCAAAATCAGAGGTCGCGGAATAATGGTCATCGAATCTAACTGCGAAACATTGGACACGAGGCATGCACAATAAAGAGAAGTGGCTTTGTCGCTGAACAGAGAATCTTAGCTATCAAAGATGGGCTTGATGCTACTGCGGTCACTACGGTGGCAATTTCGTGGGACAACTCATCAGATAAACTAACGTTTACTATGGTCAATGCAAGTCAATCGTGATTGGACTTCACCACGGTGCAACGGCTATGTGCCCCAATGTGATGAGCAACGACGTTAAGACATCTCAGTCCCAGGATCCAGGGTTATCGGTAAAGATACTTAAGTCTAAGGAAAACTGGATGTAACATTTCCGGCACTTACTGCGCGAAACAGATGCAAGAAACTCAAGACACTAGACAGGTCGATGTAAGTGAAAGGATGTACGACGATCCCCGACAAACCGTAGTAGTAGAACATGGAGCAGACAAACCGCTGTTTTGGTCAGTCTCAACTGAATACCGGAAAACAGAACAGACAATCAAACAAAAATCGAACACTCTAACAAAGTTTCACAACAGTTTCCGGGCTCCAATTCGCAAGTCCAGCAGTAAAAAACACTGCAATGACATGCTCTAGACTGCCAGAGAAAACATCGGCAACAGATTTTTTAAGCCGACAAATGCCAATCTGAAAGATCAGATGGTTTGCGACATTGTAAGAAAAAAAGTGATCTGTTTGTCGAAATCACCGAAAACAACAAATGTAGCGCACGACGGCATAACATCTACATTGAAATGAACACTAATGGGCACTACAAACACACACAGAAATGTCTGCAACCTGGGATAAAAAAGGTTACGGGAGAAGTGATCCACCGTACAAGACGGGGGTGATCAACACGAGGACTGAAGGACGTTGGAGTTATTTACCACTGAGAACAGTGCCCCTAGATCCGAATTAGCTGGCAGCATCCCTTTCAGAATAGAATATTATCACTTGTTCGATTGGGCTTATCTGGGTCAAAAAGAATGCTGATCAGTACAATGGGGCACATCTCGAACAGAACGTAGTTGGAAACAATCGTCGGTGGGCGGGAAAACAGTTCCGGTTGGTCACAACAAATCGAACAGAAATCAGGACCAAAACAGGTGAACTTCGGAAAAACTGCGGGATTTTATGGTTAGAAAAGATGAGTAGGAAAAATACCTCAAAACTACTTCAAAACTATTGTTTTACTTGAACCGCATCCTACGGTTATAAGGTCCACTTGGTGGCGTTTGATCCCAAAGTCAAGATGATACTATGGACAATCACGTTTGCACGCGGTATTTCGCCCGTTTTACTCGTCACACAAGCGATTCAGTTTCAGTCTAACAATTTCATGTAAACTCACGAGGCCCGCGATTCGAAACTATGAGTGCATATGAGACAGTCATCATTGTACAGCGAAATACAGTGAAGGGAACTTCACTGATTGCTGCCAAGCTCGCAATGCATAGCTTGTGTATGCATTGGGGTTTGATGGACGGGTACTGCTAGGGTGTCCAGCCACTTAGCAGGAGAACGATTAGAGTTCTCGTCCAAAGACTCTAGTTCTGACAAGAACCTAACCGCAAGGCAGCGGGTGAAGCGAAGTGGAGGCCCATTAACTTGGATGGATTACTTCTCCACCATTTAGTACTCACGGAAAAGCAAATTCTAGTCGAACCTCCAAACCTGGAGGACCAGGAGACTGGACTTCGTCTGATCTCAACCCATTGACCTTCTAGGTATGATTAGATCTTCTGGCATGACGAAAGCCATCCTGTATAGCTCGTTGGGTTAGAGAGATGCACAAGCCATACCACGTCAAGGTGCACTCTCGTCACGGATGAGATAGTGGACAGAACAGATCATGGTAAATGCATCTTTGAGGAGCGCTTACAGAAATGAGGGTAGATGAACAAATTGATACGCATATAAACAGATGCATCAGGAATGCCTGTACACTAAATATTCAGTCTCACTGCTGCAGATCAAATCGGTAGTTAAAAATGACAGACCATAGAGTTCTGCCTGGCTTGAATCCAGCTCCGGTGCAAAGACAAACGCGCCCACAGTTTTCCTCGGATCAGTGCACGCGCGTATGCATGGTAAGTGTTGACTGCAACGTAAAAAGCAGATGTTCTGGCGACGGTCCAGTTGACCTGATTAACACAGCTAATCCATGCTGCACCAGAGATTGGTTTCACTGGTAAAGAAACCTACGTTAATCATCAGAAATTAGTAACTACTCACTACTACTACTACTACTACACCAAAGAGCCTGAGCAATCAAATTGAACTGTTTCAGAATTCGACTATTCGGGCGTACGAGAATTCCTGATACACCTGCATATGGAATTCAAAAAAGGAGGACAACTGTTGATTTAGCAAGAATCAAGCATTTTTGTCATCACATTCTATTCGATTTGAAGTATTGTGAGAACCGCATGGAAAGATGTCATTTAAAAAATAATAGAGTAGAGCCATTATAGCCCGTTATGGGACTTACTCTTTCAAATCTTTAACTGGTCACGCTCAGAGTTCTTTACATCAAAAATTGAAAGTTGGGATATATTTAAAAGACAGGAGCTTAGTTGTCATGTACATTACGCATCTTCGCAATATCACAGTCTAACAGGAACTAGGGCTAAGGAAAGGAATGATGATATTTGATTGTAAAGAATAAAGAAAACTCAAAGGAACATCACTACGGAACGATGTTCTTACCGTTTGCACCATTGTGTGATGANTACGAACTAGTGTTCACTGATGATATCGGTCATCCAAGTCCGTGGACTCCGATTACCGAACCACCTGAAACCCTAAAAGGATGATAAATGTGTAGAACTAGATAATATCGCAGCTTCCAACCAAAATTCGGTAGGCTGCGAACTTAGGACTTTAGGGCGGTGGTGGCCCGGTGTACAACATCACTAAATTATCACCCCGGAGGACGTGTGTTGAAAACCCACCAGCACCGTCTGACTTTGCCCATTACGTGTTGTATGGTAGCTTTTAGATTGACCGCTCCTCTCTTCCTAAAACAGTGTACCATTGCATATTCAATAAGAGGAAGTAAAAATGAAAAATAAAGCACGCTAGCCACGGCCACTCGAGCCTCTCTTGACCACAATCATTCGATACCGAAGGCAACAGGGGTCAAACGATTCAGGATCCTATTGCTGACGCGCACCAATCTACAATCCGAATGCAATCGTAGCCAAATTTGTTGGATTATGTGCAACTCTAATGATACCCGGCTGAATATCTGACCTTATTCATCATTAATCGCCTGTGATTCATCACCTCCGGTGCGATTCCGAAACCAGAAAAGCAAAAAAATGTCCAACGAAAAAAACATCTACTACAGAGATTAACACACAGTTTTACGTACGTAGAACACAGAAGAACGGAATGCATTACCGGTGATAGGAGGAGGAGCAGCGGCGGGCGGAGTGAGGGGGTACAGAATTGTTAGCAGCAGTAAATGAGAAGCATAAACTGTTCTTGTAAACAGTAAGTTCGCGTTTGGCATGATGCAAAAGTGCGGCTACTGACAGATGTGTTGGAGAACCACAGTCTTCGGATGAACATAAATCATACCGCACCCTACATGGGAGAGGAATGATAATGATGATGATGACGACGACAGGTGCGAACCAAATTGAATGAAGTGTACGTCACAAGGTCCGAGCAGAGCGGATCGTTGGCTGACATCCAATTGTGAGGTGAACATGATCACAGAGATAATAATACCACGAGCAAGCGCGGGGGGTAAGCGAACACTCAAAACCAAGCAACGGGGAAACTAACCGTTGGTGGATTGCGGAAATGCAGCATCAAAGTTTATTTCCGTTTCTGTGGCATTCCGTTTGAAGTACACAAGAGGAAGGGATATATGAAGATAATCAATGGGAACAGGAAAAATGAGCTCAGCAGTGAACTGCAACCAATTCATGATTATAGGTTATTTTAGCATAAATAATAGAGTTGTTAATTATTGTAATAACAGTGAATTTTATCTTAGTCCTTTGGATTAAGACAACGATTATATGTGTAACAAAATTGTACGGATTTCAGACCCTCAAAAAATAAGAAGCGCAGACCTATGCGATTTCCTAAAACATGGTAAGTAGCCCTAAGGTTGGCGCAATATCAACCATATTCTCTGGAGCAGACAGCGTTCTTTGCTTGGGATAGATTTGCCATCGCTACAATGGTGACCAGCGGAATAGTAAGTTAGGTAGATCAAAATACAATAAATTGATTCAAAAAGCATCTCCGATTCACAAAACCGCATCTAATATCCACACGCACGCACACACACACACACACCGCGACAAGCTACTCTCGCTATAACCCCTCAAATCCCTAAGGTTGATGCACGCTGCATCTCCACAACACGTATTCAAAACCCTGATTTATGCAGCATACTGCTTTCAAACAAAACCTCATCTATAAGCTTTAATCTCTGTGTCAAGCGTCTGACGTGGCACCTGACGTACACGTTGTTGTCGGTTTCGGGATAGCGCTAAGCCTCCGACGGGACTCCAGTCTGCAGTTTACTATGAGTGTGTGTGTGTTGTACATCCCTATGGTTCAGTGCAGGTCAATAGGAATAAAACAAAGCATAGCTCGTTGTGTGTCATGCTCGTACATACGGGGAACTATGATATAATTGCATTGAAATGAAGAATTTCTGTGATGACATGTTTACACTGCCACTCATTGTCCCCGGAACGAACATGGTAGTTGTCGCCAGTGACTTCAACGCTCGTAGGGCCATTATTACCATTATTATTATTATTATTACTGTACGCTCAAATAAATAGTGGGTTCCTTTATATAGGAGATCGAACAAAAATTTGCACACCACATTGCAAGAACAAGAGTGGAGCAACTAGACAGGCAGTGCTGAAGCTAGGCGCACATTTTTAAGTAATCGTAGTCGCTCACTGGAGAAAGAGCTTGATCACCACGTGTTACACGTCTCCCCATGTGAGTTTCTTCGAAGAGCAGTGTTTGCCGAGGCATGTGGTGAATAGAAAGAATTCAAGGGGGGAACCTGAAGATTCCGGATGCAGGAGGGGAGATCAGCTTATTCGACGGTTCCAGATATGGCAGGGTGAAGTGGCGTTCGTGCATCTGCTCATTTTGATTGTAACCTTAGACTACCTACATTCACTATCATCATTTTGGTACTGCTTCCAGCATTGTAATCTCACCTTTACTCCTCAATCGAAATAGTTAGACAAAAAAATA